AAAGAGGAAGATGCAAAAATCCTGGGAATGGGTCGACCGATGCGATAAAGGTCCATCTGCGTCGGAAAATCTCTCAGAAAGCGCTATCGTATTCGCCAAGACGGTTAGAGGATACGCACCTAATCTCACTAAGGCAGTTGAAGGTTTTAACGATCGAGTTAAACCCGCTGACTTCCCTTCTAACCTTTCTAAAGAGCTACTTCAAGGCAAGTACATCGACCTTCGACGAATCAAAGGCGAATATTTGGCAGAGAAGAGAGGCATGGCAACAAGTCTTATGGTTGCTAGCAAAGATAAAGATATCGAGCTTCAGAACAAAAAAGTTTCTCAAAAGCTGGACGACATCCAAGACTGGTATTACTATTTCTACATTCTCCAACAAGCCTATCAAGAGGCTTTTCCGAAAGGCTTCAAATACTTTCTTCAATACTCAAACTGGATCAAACAAGAATTTATGTCAAATGGTCAAAAAGCCGACTGGATGTGTGTCGCTAACTTCGACGCGGCACTCAGGGGTCAATTTGCCATACCAACACCGGAATCGCTCCGCAGCGCAACAGAAATTCGGCCAATTCTGTTGTGATGCGGAGCACCCGCTATGAACCACAGCACACTTGATCCGCTATTCGCTATGTAAAGAATCTCACAGAGTATCGGAGCGGCGAATTTGCTCCGATATTTGCTATATAGCGCGCTATAAAGAGCGCGCTATATAGCGCACTAAACCGCTACGATAGCGCATCATGGGGCCAAACCAAAGATAACAAAATTGTAATTTAAATCTATGTGTACTCGTCCAAGCCTAAAAGGCTGGAGCAAGTAGGAGAGTAGATGTAGCGTCTGTAGAAAAGAAAAAACAAGATAAAGGTGAAATGAAAAGAAAACATAACAGAAAGAATCGGGAGATAGAAAAAAACCCATCCGAAACAATATAACTAGCTGGTTTTCTTAACCACCTTTTCCATATAGAATTGAAGAGCTGTTGCAGCTGGTTCAAAAGCGCCTTCAGGTATCACTCCCGCCTTCAACCACACTTGACATCCAACAAGACGCTCCATTGTTTTAGGAAGCATACTGCCTCGCGACGGGGTACATATGTCAGCAGCGGCAGAAAAAGTCCGCTCACATGCACATGATGTGGCGGAGATAGACAAATAGTCACGGGCAAGTTTTGCAAGTCGGGGGAATCGATGTTGATGCTCCTGTAAATAAAAGAACATGAAAAGGTTAGCCACATCAGATTCACATAAGAATCACCAGTAAATAGTAGACCTGTGAAAACCGAAACATACCTTCCACCAATTGAGAGGTGTTTGATCTTTTTTGATGGGAAGTCGACCTTGCAAGAAATCATCGAGCTCCGATGTCATAGACTTGCTGGGACCACCAATTGAATCTCCAAACACATCAAAAATGTCGGGCTCGGGGGAGATGGTGTTGTTGTTATCTTCAGGTGGTGGTGGTGGTGTGGCCTCAGCCTCAGGCTCTTGCAAGATGTCTTCAAAAGCAGTCTCAATCAGGGCTTGAGATGTTATTTCGTGCTCGGGGTAGTGGAGCAAAAAAAATTTGACTCGGAATTGGGGGTTGAGAATCGTGGCAAGAACTATTGCATCGCAGTTGACAGCCTCATCTTGATATTCTTGAAGCCATTTGATCATGATGGTTATGGCGTTGTTGAGACTAGGAAAGATGCCTGATTCAGCTTGATGTTCTTTGAGCTCATTAATCACTCTCTTGTATTCAGCCAAGATGATACAGCCCGTGGGACTGTCCCCTTCAACTCGAGAGGTGCCATCAACAAAAGTCTATGAAATAAAACTGGTCGTCAGTAACCTGAACTCAATCAATCACAATAAAGAAAACACACCTTTAATACTTTATTAACTGTCTCAACAGCATGCCATTTGGAGGGTGAAATTGTAATACCCTTAAAGAAGCATGCCTTGCGATCTGCCGCGATCATGGAATTGATCACCTACAAAGCAAAATCATGATACAATATTTGTATCAGAAGATAAGATGAAATTGGAAGATATAATGAAATTACGTACCTCCTGGGCCTCACAAGCTACCTTACGACATTCGTAATGGCTGTTCCATCGGGTTTTGCAAGGCCTTCTAAGCATTCGGCCGGTGTAACCCATGCGAGTAGCACGCGACTTGAAATCGTTACGTCGAGCAGCACTGCTAGAGATCTGCCCAGAGACAGAGTCGACCTATATCAAAATTAAGAAATTAATGAGATAACAAAGTTAGCAACCAAATCCAGCGATTTGATCAATTATTGGATAGAACTGACCTTAGCAAGTGCAACAGCTACTACATCATCTTTATCACAACCGATAACATCTCGACGTCGATTTTCGTGTTCATCTTCGTCGTCCACACCATCAGGATCATCAGGTAAGCCAATTTCATCTTCGGATTCTGAGTCCGATTCATTGTACTCAATTGCATCCTCGCCATCGTTTACCTCAAGCCCAGGGATTGGAAGGGCAAATCCGTAAGGTGTTGATGGCTTTGCATTACCTACATTCTGACCAATTGCCTTGAGGCCGTGCCCGACAACCAGATTGAGCTTGTGCGCGTAACATCGAACGTGATGTGTTGAGCTGTCCCAGCTGGCCACGTCTTCAGAGCTTGCAAACATCGCCTGAAGCTCAGTAGCCATTGGGCGATTGTTCCCTCCGCTGTCGGTGGTCTGAGCTACCATGTAAGGAGGACAATAAAAAAAGGACAGAAAGATAAATAAAGAGAAATATAAATAACGAGAAAAAAAGGAGGCTTATCTTTTTATGAAGACCATGCCGAATCAAAAAACGGCCAATTGGTCTGGCCAGGAGAGCTCCAAAGTGTCTCCACCCCACCATCTTCAGTGTGAGATGGGTGGATTGATACTGCCAAGAGTCGTTGATATAGTTGGCCGATGCGCCAACAAAAGCGTACCGGTTCCCTTTAGTTGTCCACACATCATGTATCAAGCAGAATTTCCCTTGATTTACCTATGAAGATCAAAAGTCAATCAGTAATCAATATATAATCTGAGGATATCAAAAAGTTAAACAGGTAAAACTTACTTTCAATGTGTTAATCGCCTTGTCATGCAAGGCCCCAAAAAGCTGCACCGACTGCTGGGCCGCCCAGGTGGAAGATCAAACAACAGCACCACGATTGACTGAGTAGAAGGCGGTACGGAGGGCTGGGTCTTCAAATCGAGCCCATGGGAGAGCGTGCCGAATGATCCATAATACCAATATCATGTTCAAAAGCTCAACCGTGAAAGTAGGTCCAGTGACAAAGGAAGTTAAAGTGGAATCTTGACTTTTCTTGTTCTGTTCATGATAGGTAGGTGGAAGTTTGCGACCGGATTCAATTGCTCGATGCCGATTCTTGCAAGCAGGGCGATTGGCACTGCCATTGCGATGGCCCCACAAGTTCCAGTATGATTGACGACCATTCTTGAAGATCTTATTGCACCAACGACACTGATAGTTGAGACCCTGAGTAATAAACATTCATGTTAGCATAACAAAGAAAAGATAAAAATAAACTAAATGTCTATACAAGAAGTTGATGGACACGTACATCAGGAGGGTGAAAGAACTCAAGGAGTTCGTTCACGCGAGCGCTACGAGCTTCATTATAAGTGGGTCCATTAGTTCCAACAAACTCGATATCAGAATCTTGAGATAAATCAACATCATTGGGAACTTCAAAGGGCTGCTTGTGACAAATCAGCAAAGTTTGTTGAAGCTCGGATGTGATATGGATCACTTACATCCATATTTGCTCGCTTGGTTGGTTGGGGCGAAGGACTTTTTGATCTCGCTGATGATGATCTAACACGTTTGCTGGTTGATGATCAAGGCTGGACATGATAGGCCATTGTCAGTCAATAGCCAAATCTTTGAATACATAAGAAAGGCAAATAGATAACAACAAACCTTTCCCTTGTCAGTTGGTTTGACTTTTGTTTGAGCGGTGACTGAGAGTCTCTTCTTGGTGGTAACTTTTTTGACGGGTCGAGGTGATGGAAGTCGATGAGCAAGACTCAGAGTACCTGGCTGATCATCCTCGGAGTTCGCTGAACTTGAAATGGTGATACTGAGAGAGGTTCGAGAGTCTTTGGGAGGTACTACAAATCCAGGCTGGGAGCGAGCTGGGCTAGGAGGTCGAAGAGTTCTAGAGCTGGACTTACTGGGAACCTGGAGAGTCGAGGAGCTTTGCGATGATGATTTGGAAATGGGCATTGTAATAAAAGTATTAAAGTATTAGCGTCACTGATGATCGAATCAAACGAGCTTCTCAATGTCTACTTGAGAAAAAGACGTACCACAACTTGAAATACCAATTGCAGACCCACATTTCAGCCGAATTTGAAGACAACCTATCTTCAAGTTCGACCACAAGCCAGCCAGATTCGAAGTCAATACATCCAAGGGTTGTGTGGTGTCGTTAGTTGATGAGAGGAATGAATGAGTTGTTCGGTGTGGTTGGTCGGTAAAGAGATTCAGTGGCGCTGGTATGTAGTAGTACAGCCTGGGTACCCTGGACCCAGCTTGTATTGCCGCTATATAGTGGAAAACCCGAGGCCGGTTGGGTTGCGCTGCGCTTGACCCGCTATTGGGAAAACTGGCCCGGGGCTGTGGTGCGCAGCCCCCGCTACATATGGCGCATGTTATAGTGATGGTAAAAACCGCTGCGCAACCACTCCGCAACCGCTATTGGATGCGGAGTGGTTCTGGTATTGGCCATACAAAGAGATATTTCGTTTGCTGATTGGGGCCATCAGAGTCTCGGCACTATTAGAACAAGGTATATGCAGAAAGCGTTTGATACTTCTTCTCCAGTGGTTGCTTCTAGCAGTAGGCTTTCTACAAGTAGTCGCCAAAACCAGTACCAAAATGCGAAGAGCAATACTTCTCCAAATCGCCCTTCGTTGTCAAGAAATCAACACTCACCAAACTATTATAAGTCGTCTTATAAACATAAAGGTGTGTATGAAGTGGAAGATGCAGATCTTGTTCCAGAACGTGAACAATTCTGCTTCGCGCATAATCTTGGACACTGCAAGCTGGGGAAGCCAGCTTGTCTCCGTATCCATCGCTGTGTTGGTCTTTTCAGTTTCTCTAAAAAATCTTGTTCGTGTCTGACAGTTAAGTCCTCCTCAGAACGTCAAGGGCTGTAAGCAGGACCACAAGGGTTGTGACCATGTCTGATCAAGACGGTCCGCAAGAATCTTGTGGTAGCATAGACACTGAGGGGTTGGTTTCATCTAGTTCATCATTTTCTCTCTTGTGTGTTTCTGACGTTTGAGTCTTTCTCAGAACGACGGAGGAGGAAATGGTGGATATGGGTCAAGAGAGAAATTGCAAAGGAAATGATAAGGACAAAGTTTACGGCGATGCCTTTATAGAGGGGTTGGTATTGCTTTGTTTCTCTCATTATGTTATGTAAAACTGTCGGTATTTCTATTGCTGACATTTGAGTTTTCAAAGTCCTCCACTAGCTCACTTCTCAGACGATTTTATCGAACCGAAGTTTCTTAGGGGATACGTTTGGGACGGTGTGAACACACCCGGCTATTCGCCGGCCATCGAATCAAGCGTTTACGCGGCTCCTTTTCGAGACGCCCCTCCTCTTTCGGAAGATATCGATGCAGCCTTTGTTTTAGAACAATATCCTCATTTGTTCAAAATAATAACCCCTATTAAAGTTGACAAGTTGGAGTTATTACTTAGGGATCATCCAAACCAAGCTTTCGTCAATTCCGCGCTCAAAGGTTTGCGAGAAGGCTTCTGGCCAAACTCATCAATTCCGTCATCAGAGGTAGTGGACGGACCAAATCACATTTCTTGCGAGGCCAATCAATCTCTATTGGAAGAGCAATGCCAGGATGAGATTGATAAAGGTAGATACTCTGAAGAATTTACGACATTACTTTTAGGGATGAAGGTGATCCCGCTTCTAATGGTAACGAAAAAAGACTCCAATAAAATGCGTGTTTGCTCTAATATGAGCGCAGGCCACCCATCTCCCAACGATCTTATCAACAAGTCAAGCATTCCTGTGGCTTACGACTCATTGAAATCTTTTATTCCTTATTTAATAAAAATGAAGGAAGAAGAGGGTGAAGTGATACTATTCAAATCAGACATTGAAGGAGCCTTTAGGATAATTCCCCTTCACTTCCAGTATCAACTTCGTCAAATTTATAAGATCAGAGGTAATAAAAAACGTGTCGACCATAATCTAAATTTTGGTTCTTCGGCATCTCCCTTCATTTGGTGTGGTGTTTTTTCGCTAGTGTTGTGGATTGCTGAATTTATCTTTGACATCAAGTTCATGAATAACATGATGGACAACGTCTGGTGTGTGTGTTCAACCAAACATTTTGTCAACTTCAAGGGTCATCTTATTCCTTTACCTCAAGCGAAGCTTTTGAATCTATTTGACATTCTCGGGTTTCCTTGGGTATGGAAAAAACAACTTCACGGACCTGTCCTCGAGATAATCGGCCATATCGTGGATTCAGAAAGAATGATCATCCAACTTCACCCTGACAAGAAACGTCTCCTCATCGAGAAGCTCCAAAAATTTGTCGCACATCACCATCATTTGTTAAACGACTGGCAAAAGATACTGGGCCATGCTTCATGGGCTTGCACGTCAATGCCATGGGGTCGGTACGCTTTACAAAGCCTGTATGAGAAGTCAAATACGAAATCTCATCGTTTCCTCCAGATTCCTCTTAATAAAGAAAACCAAGATGACGTGCGGTGGCTGATAAAGTTTTTCGATCAAAGTCCAAGGATTTTGGTTTTGACATCTCTTAGGTGGGGTCTGAAGGAAGCAGACGCAGAGTTTTTTACCAACGCTTGCATGACAGGAGTCGGCATCTGGGATCCAATTTCTCGGATTGGAAGATATTTTATTTTGCCACCACCTCCTTGTAACATTTTCTGGGCCGAACTACTTGGGGTCATTTCAGCCATCAACTTAGGGATTGAAAAAGGCACCAAAAGAATTTTCGTCCATTCGGATAATCGAAATGTTGTCGACCTATTCAACTCTCATGCACCGAGTAAGATCGTTAGGCCGTTATTTCGTCACTGTGTTATGCGCATTGTCGAAGCAAAAGTCGATGTCAAGGTCGCTCATGTTTCAGCTGAGTTTAATTCAGAAGCTGATAATTTGTCTCGGATAAAAACTATATTAACTCCTGAGAAATCAGATATACTCTGTCATGCGATTAACGGGACGTCTATTTCTTATTTACACATTAACTCCTCTCTTTCCTCTGGGGGTCAAGTCGCAAATCTAGCTTCTTTAGATCCATCTTTTCGTCAATGGCTAAATCCAAATCGTCAAGGCTCAGCCTGAAGAAGCCTTCTTTCAACATTTCTTTATCCGATTTACGGAAATTATCTAATCAGGATCAATGTTCTACCATTAGTCCCATTTCTTTACAAAAATATAAATCTGCCTTCAAGAGTTTTGCTAAATTTTGTGTCCTTTTCAAACAGCCATTTATTCCTAATAAACGTAACCTGTGTGATTTTGTCTCTTTCATGAGTAGAGTAATTTCTCCACGTTCGGTCCGTTTGTATTTAGTTGGTATTCGGCACATCTTCAAGTTGGAGTTTCCGTTGATCATTTGCGAGACGACCCATCAAGACGTCAAAGATACTATGAAGACGTGTATAAAAAAATTATCTAAACCAGTCAATAGGAAAAATCCTCTAACACTGGAACAAATCGAGTCTGTAGTTTCCAAGTCATCATCCTCCTATGATGACAAATTATTTTTAGCTTTATTGGGGTTTGGGTTTGGCGGTCTTCACCGTCTGGGGGAACTAACCAAACCTGATTCTGCAAAATTCTTTGATGCACGGAAGGTTATCTTACGTTTGAGTCTCCGGTTTTCAAATTGCAAAAAAATTATTCAATACAACTTACCATATTCAAAAGGAGATACTAGTTTTCTTGGTGCTCCGGTTATTATTCAAGGGTTTCATAATACTTCCGCCTGTCCGATTCGTCTTATAAAGTCCTACCTCCGAGTTTGGGACGAATCCTTCATTTCGTCACCTGAACTTTTCGTTACTTCAAATGGTTCGGTTCCTTCTCGCTCTTGGTTTCTTTCTCGTTTCCACAGTCATTTCGACAAGACATTTTCCGGCCATTCTTTGAGATCCGGTGGTGCTACAGCTTTAGCACAGTCAGGTCACAATTTGGATTACATCAAGAGTGCGGGACGCTGGTCGTCCAAGGCCTTTTTAATCTATGTCCGTGGACACGTCGCTTTACGATTACCAGAAAACCAAAATCACGTAATCGGTGATGTGTCTCACATTGGATCTAGAGTTTCTTTTTCTTAAAAAACTCGTGAGTTTATTTCTGAAGTTTGAAGACCGGTCAATGGCTCTTTTGCCTAGTCTTTTTAATCTTCTGGTCAATGGCTTTTGCCTTCTAGTTTGGCTTCTTGATGCCGTATAAAGTTTTTTATAATGGCTTCTTTATGCCTAAGAGTTTACGAGTTGTGGGTCTGTGCTTTATTAGAAACTGACAAATTGATTATTTCCCTCTCCTACTTCACCACTCTATGGGTACGTCTGTAGGCGGGTCGGAGAGGGGGTCCTTTTGTCTTTTTCAAGTAATTCATAACCCTGGGCTTTTCTAGCCTAGGGATTCGCCCACAACACACTTGTCCTAGTATTTTCAAATACTGAATATTGTAAGTTTTCATGAATTACATTTCCAATGAGTACAGCTATTCAGGAAATTCATGTCATGGGCGCACAATTTTTTCGTTCCCCCCCCCCTAATACAGCCACGCCGCGCAGCGCAGCAGAGCTGTATGACCCTGTGGCTTCAAATATCCGGCTGCATCCGAGGTCATTCTGAACCGGCCATACGGGATTATTTGGTATTGTTTGGCCATTCCATACCACTACCCTCCACTACCCTTACTGGCGCTACCAACGAGGGGATAGCTTTGGTTCCCCTCGACCTTTTCCCCCCATTTTCATTCAACCCAACATCCACCATCTCGAAGCCACATCTAACAAAGATCTCGATATGGACCTCAACAATTCAATCCTCACCCGATTGCCTAGTTCTGTGGACCAGTCATTCACGCAACCGCAAACCAAACGGGAAGCCACCTCACCAGATCGATGTCCTCAACCACTGGTTGACCGCTTCGCCAAATCGCATAAATTCACGGGGTTCCCTTCAAGTGCTGCTGTCACTGATACCCATTTTTTCGCCAAACGAAACCATAAACCTTACCTGAGATTCCGATTGATTCATTTTTACCCTTCGAGCACTATGGGCAACAGAAAACTGTCGCAAGTACCCTTGTGCGTATTTTTTCATCTGGATGCCTTGTTTTTGCGTTTTCAATCCTTTCTCTGGCTGTGTGAAACTTTGGTTGATTTAATGATTGTCCTTAATGTTTGTCCGTTTCATTAGGTCCCCGGCCGATAAGCGACTCGATGTCATGAGCCGAGCAATGCGCACTCGCAGCTATCAAGCTGCCCATCTTCAGAGTGTTGTTACACCAACGTGAGTCAGCCTTTTATTGATCAGTTCAATGTGACATTGGCTCACACCCTCGAACGGTCTCCCAGTGCCGGAATCGCTAATACGACTTCTTTGATGTGGCCTAACACTGTCACCCCCCCATCTTTGGCGAGAGGCGATTTGCTGGCAACATCCCCCTTAAAGGCGTCCAGAACAGCTGATGGTTCAAACACCCTGGTCACTCCGTCAATGAACGAGGTTTTTGCCCGTAGTCCCCCTGCCTCGACCCCGAGCGGATCTCAATCCTCTTGCCTTGGCTCTGTCAACCCTCACATCAATCCATTGATTTTGGATACGGATCGAATGTCACAGGCCACGCCCTTCGCTTCACCTGCCACCGTCTCTACCTCACTGCCGGCAAGCCTCAAGCCAAGTAAAGCTTCAATGTCTTTTGAAAAGCCTCCTCGTTCATTGCTAGATATGGTCTTGGATGGAGAAGATGAAATTGAGCAGTTAGACGACGACCTAGGTAAGGAGCTCCCCTTGTTCTGTACCCTCTCTCACCCATGTGCAACCCCAGGAACTGACCTCGTACTCTGCTCTTTATCTAGATACCTTGACTGATACTGGCCTCGATACGTGTCCTATCGAGTTGAAGCCTCTTGAACCGATTACTGCTCGCCAATTCCAAGTCACCTTCAACTTCTGGCAACAGCAAGTGCCTGAATTGGATTTGGAAAGCTCTAACAATAATAAACGCAAGAAACCGGCCGGGAAAACCCGGGCTATCAAGACGAAGATCAAAACACCCGTACCTAAGTACGAAAATTATCAAACGAAAGTGCCCATCAATCTCACGATTCTTAACCCCAAAATCCCCTTTGTCACATTCAAATTGAAACTTTTCCAAGCTTGCGATAAGAAATTGCCTGGGGTTTCTGAATCCCTTGCCAACGCCTGGTTTGACAAGACGATCGATATTCAAGGCTTCATTAGTGGAAATCGAAAACAAAAGGCAACCAAGATTGTAGTTGAGGACACCCTTACCTATCTCGATTTCATGAACGCTGCCCAGCTCGTACCTCCTTCTACCACCATGGGCTTTAAAATCATCCACGAAAACCCCAAGGTCACCAAAAACGCCAATTGCTTCATTGAAAACAAGCGCAAACGCAACGCCCCCCCTTCGGATTCAGAAGACTCCGAAGGTAAAGCGTCTGTGGCTGCTTCTTCTGCAGGGGTAAGTAAGATGTTTTTGATACCTTCCAGACTGCGAACTGACTTTGTCATTATGCCATCTGCAGTCTGCTATCCTCCAAGATGGCAAACGCAACCTGCGAGCTTTGATGAAACGCTTCAGTAAGGATTTCTCGCGAGGGGAGAACATCACAAGTGTGACAAACCCAAGAGACCCAGGTCAAATCATTCTACTCAACACTTCTCGCATTCGAACTTGGGCAGATGATTGGGTCAGTTATTTGATGAATTTCTTCTTCCTGGACCTCGGATAGCTGACTCTTGCGGCATCTGCTAATAGGCCGCCGGGGTCCCCGGCGTCGATGAGGTCAACCCACCTGTCAAGCGACCTGAGTTCAAGTGGGTAGCGGTGGCAGACTACGAGAAGGAGAAGAGCAAACTCTTAGGTTTGATCCCTCCTACTCGATCAGAACCATCTCCTGCCACCGGTGCGGTTATTCACCATAACTACTATGGTCAGCCGTTCGCCCCCGCTGGATTCGTTCCCCCAGTACCCACGGTTCCCTTTGGTGCACCCCCCATGGCCACCTCGTCAATGCCTGAGGTGGCCCCTGTGCCTGCTCGCCTGCGTTTGTCACCACCTCCCACCATTCCTCCTTTTGAAGAGTTTTTGGCTTTCGCCGGGATTACTCCTGACATGAAGAAGACGCGCGACATCCTCGCCGAAGAAGGCATCAACGACTTCGGACGACTATTAGACCAACAGACCTATTCCTTTGCCAACTTCCGGAGCATGGGGATACCCTTCGCTCACGCCGATGATATTTCAAAGGCCATTCCGCAATTCAACCAGGTTCTTAAATCAGCCAAATGAAGATTCACCAATATTGATGAAAGTCTTTTCCTATTTTTGTTTTATTCCGGTCCTACCTGAAAAACCTTTACAGCCTATTTTGTAAACTCGTAAACACGTGTTGTGAACATGAAATGTTATATCCCCCCACCTCTATGTCTGAACTATGTGATGTGTTGTGCCTTGTGACTTGTGCTGTGCGCTATATTTCCCCTTGATTGGCTTTGAAAAACCTCCCTTTGGAAACCATTCAAACCCAAAGCACCTAGAGACCCGACTTTAAGTAATGAACCTAGAGAGACCCGACTGTGAAAAAGTCACAATCCGTGTGAGGATGTGACTGCTTTCCAGTAGCAAGGGTCATGGTTTGGGTCATTCCGAGTGTCCTGAACATTTTGTTTTTGTTTTCAAAACCCAAAAAAACTCTTTGGCTGTTTGTGTCCGCCAAAGAGTTGATTTTTTTTTTTGGTTTGGGACAAGGAGTTCGACTTGAAATGTCAAACTTTTGGGACCTCACTTGGTAATGCTCAATTAGGGACTTGGGTTTGGATTGTTTTTAGACTGGGGGACATTTTATTGGTCAAAGAGCCGTGTATGTATTGCTCAAAACGGCCTAACTTAGAGATCGATCAAAGACTGAGACAAATTCCCTTTCCCTACATCCCCTACAACCAATAACCACAAACCGCATATAGCTTATGCATCAGAGCCCCGGTAAACAACTTCCAAGTTGAATCAATGATCACATATTCCTTCTCATCCGCAACGGCTTGCTTGAGCAGTTGAGTTTGGCAAAAGTAAGATTTAAGGACACTGAAGGCCTTTTTGATGGGATTCAGATCAGGTGAGTACGGTGGGAGGTACAAGATCCGTATGCCTTGCTCTTCCGCCATCTCGGCAATGCGTCCCCCGTGGTGGATCCGCGCATTGTCCATCACCAACACTGAGTTGGCTTGAGGATACGGGTTCATTACCGGAAACTACATAAGGACCAAGTCAGTTCAGGATGGTGAAAGTAGAGAGAGAAAACTCACCAATCTATGTTTGAGATAACTTTCGAAGTCTTCCCGGAGGTAGCTGCCTTCTTGGCAATCCACAGCGAGCACTCCACCGCGAAATATAGCCGGGAGGAGGGAGAATCGTTTCCCTCCTCTGCTCCAAGGAATTCGGCTGGTCCGTATGCCTTTTCTGGCACGGCCATACTGTCGACCGAGATACCGTTCCTGTACCAAACACTCATCTGTTGCACAGTTAGAATGCGCTTGGCGCAGCGGAAATCAAACAGACAAAAGACGTACCCAAGAATACAAGCATATTGGGCGTTAACGCTCCCACGGCATGCAAAAACTTAGCTCGCTTGGACGCACTTTGATTTGGGTGCACCGTCCTAGCCTTCTTGAGCGTCAAGTTCAGTCGATCTTTAAGGTCCATTGACAAGGTTTGTAACGAGACCCACTTCCCGGTACGGCAATAAACGCCGTACCGATATTTGTCCAAGTACAGAGCCGGGTCCCCCTCGAGAAGCTCCAGAATAAAATCTCTGTCTTCGTCGGTCAGGGCGGTGTTTCTTCCAAGACGTGCGTACTCTTCAGGGTTGTTAACCACTGCTTTGGTTCGTCGATATAATGAGTGCCATCGTGAGATAGTGCGGCGGTGGACTGGCGACTTCAGGAGGCGACGGACGTGTTCAATCGTTTTCCCGTCGCGGAGGTATTGCACAGCGAGGACCTTGATGCCGACATCGTATTTCAATGGTCGGGTACGCATAGCTAGAAGGCACTCGGAAACGGTCAGTGTCTTGGGTTGTTAGGATGGGGAGAGTGGATGACGGACCTAGGGGTTGGAGACGCCGGGATGCGATGTGAAGGATGGGATGCTGAGTGAATAAAATTGCCAAAAAAAAAATTGGTTCCGAAAGATCACGTCTCAGGTGTTTCGGGGTTTGGGGTTGACCTACTTGCCGGTCCGGATTAGCTGTGCTGCGCTGCGCGGCGCGGCTGTATTAGGGGGGGGGGGAACGAAAAAATTGTGCGCCCATGACATGAATTTCCTGAATAGCTGTAATAATATTACTTTTTCTAAAATGAATGGCACCCCTGGCCCGAGAAAAAAATATTTTTCAGCGCCGCAGTCCCCGCAGCCGGTGCAGTGATGCATACAGAATCCAGATCAGCTGGCTGACGCGGCCTGCTGAGCACTGTAATTGGCAATCACTCACCGAACTCCCTCTATGATTGGCTTTCAACACCCACTTCCTCGACATTTTTCCTGACGCCTCAAACCAATTGCTTCATCGATCACACGTAAGTCGTCCTATCAGCTTTCTAGCACACCTATTCCACGTTGACTTATAACCTTTTTTCTTTTTCTTTTTCTTTTTCTTTTTCTTTGACTTTGATTTTGATTTTCTCTTCTTTTTTTGACCATGTAGATCAAAGACTACCCCAACTCCTTGTTCAAACCGACACCGTCATAAGCAAAGATGATACTCACTTTTGAGATGATTTCAAGTGATTGAGGGTGGTTATGAGTGATTTGGGGTGGTCTCGTACTTGGCCTATCTCTGGTACCAGACCACCATTTCCTTTTTTTTTACAAAAAATGTGTCCTTATGATAAGTTTTGCTCTAGGATATCATAACTCATGGTTCCTGTTAATGACTTTTCAAGTTGTAGTAATTGATGCTTATGCTAGTATTTGTTCTCAGTTCTTATTTGTGGTTGTGATGACTCACACTTTTTGTTTTTGTTTTGATCAATGCAAGTTCACTGTGTTCCAAAAGTATGAGCCTACAAACTGAGAAAGTCCCATTAATCTCACTTATGATCCAACATAAATGACGCCAAACAACTTATAGTTACTCAAGCAGAACATGATCCAGCTTATTGTCTTTTTCATTCTTTGTCGCATCGACAAAAAACTTTCAATTATATTGATAATCTCAATGTTTTTCAATCAAATCTCACTAAAATAGAGGATCCAGTATCTAGTTCGTTCATCCTAAAATCTTAACTGAAATGTTAAAAGTTGTTCAAATAAATATGAACAATTTAATTTGATGTTTTGTAGATAAGTTTGGTTTTGAATGGCAAATCAAACAAAAGTTTCCTTCTTTGCATTGATTTCTGAGTCAGACAGCACAAAAATCAAGAGACGTTCAAAAGTATTAAAGAGATTCAATAAAAAAGATACATCGGGTAAAGAAACAATTGTGATATCAATCCGATCAACAGAATGATCGTGTTCGTTAACTAGATAATAAAAAATTCAATTAAATCAATGAGATCTCAATCAAATGCCCATCCCTTCTCCGTGACCTGTAGCAAAACTAGACATATGACGGTCTCTGTTTGAATCGGGGTAGTCTTTGATCTACATGGTCAAAAAAAGAAGAGAAAATCAAAATCAAAGTCAAAGTCAAAGAAAAAGAAAAAGAGAAAGAGAAAAGGTTATAAGTCAACGTGGAATAGGTGTGCTAGAAAGCTGATAGGACGACTTACGTGTGATTGATGAAGCAATTGGTTTGAGGCGTCAGGAAAAATGTCGAGGAAGTGGGTGTTGAAAGCCAATCGTAGAGGGAGTTTGGTGAGTGATTGCCAATTACAGTGCTCAGCAGGCCGCGTCAGCCAGCTGATCTGGATTCTGTATGCATCACTGCACCGGCTGCGGGGACTGCGGCGCTGAAAAATATTTTTTTCTCGGGCCAGGGGTGCCATTCATTTTAGAAAAAGTAATAAATATAGAAAAGGTTTGAATTTACCAACGTCATGGATCACCAATAAATTCGATACAGGAGACAACTACATATACATATTTATAGTTTCAGTGCGAATTGAAATACGAGGACGGAACTCGTCAGATTCATAAAACTCGAAATCGATTCATCTTTTTAATTTTTTTTTTCCAAAACATGTAGATAGAACAAAGCTACCTCAAACCAAAGTGAAAGAAAAAGAAAAAGACTTTATCCTAAATGAATTCTTTACAATCTCGATCCTCAGGATATTTTAATTTGATTGATTTTCATTTTTCTCAATCCAAACTAACACCAACACATGTCCAATTTATCAATCAGAACCAACGAAGCAGAAGAAACCCATCCCTCAAGCACAACTTTATCCAATCACCACATTCCATCGACATCCACATCCACTACAACTTATCAAACCCCAAACCCGACCAATCCAAAAAATGTTAAATCACTCAAACTTATTTCATCAACAGATCCAACCCAATCCACCACTCAAACCATCATCTCAGGAGTCAAAAAAGCATTCGATACAGTCATAAGTTATCCGATCTCATCATTTATCAATCCAAGTTCATCTATCATTACGAATCCAAAGCAAGATGAAATCGAAATGAAACCAAACCAAGTTGATCGAAGACCTATTCCACCCCTCGAATCTGATCGGAATCCTAGACCTTTATCAACCAGTTCATCAACCAGGACCTCTCGAATACCCAACCCGACTCATCTTCCTGATCATCCAACACTCACAGGCACAGGCACTTTATTTCGAAGACCTTCAATTTCTTCATCAACTGCTTCTTCTTCTTCTTCTTCATCATCAACATGGTGGAGGTTTTGGCGAAACTCTTCTTCTTCTTCTTCATCATCATCATCCGATTCTACTACTTCTGATACCCGACAATACTCTGAATTCACCTTGATGACCCCTTCGTCTGACCTATCTAGACCGAAAAGGATTCCAATTGATTTCTTAAACCATCATACGACTAACCTTTTATCCCATGATCTTACTTCTAATTCTACACAGATCCCGGGTTACGATTCGTTTACTTCTTCTACTATTAATCCTGCTCTTCAACGGTTATTGGCATTTTGGAGGGACCGAAATGAATGTGATTCAACAGAACTTGAAGGAAATCCTAAACCTATCAATCTCCAGATAGATCTTACGAGTAACGAAGTAGATGAAGAAGAAAGACTTTCTCCTTTGATAATCAATCATCCAGAAGAAGCAAATCTCTCCCACGACAAAATCCCCGCTCATCCCAAAACGTCTAGATGTTTACCAAAAATCAAACGACAACCCCTAAGTGCTATGCATAAGTTATGTTTCAAAGAAGGAGGAAGATTATCCATACTAAAAGATAGAGATGATTCATTAAAACCTAAGACGAGCAGATCGGCATGGTGGTTAGATATCACGAATCCGAATGAACAAGATATGAAACAGGTTGGAAAAGTGTTTGGAATCCATCCTTTAACGATTGAAGATATTTTACAAACAGATGATCGAGAGAAGAGTGAGATGTTTGATAAGTTGGGATACTATTTGATTTCTTTCAGAGGTTTAGACGAAAGTAATTTTCAGGAAGAGGTTATTGATGATGATGATGATCATCATCAAGAAGGTATGGAAGAAATTAGTGAGTCGGGCGGGATTGGGGCAGGTGAGGAATGGAGCGTTAATCATGCTAGTTTGATGACTATGAGGAGTTTGAGAAGTAGGAAGATTAGAAGGAGTAGGAAAAGACTTCGTGTTAAGGATGGAGCTATTGGGGTTGGAGCGGTTAATATGTATTTGATTGTCTTTGGGGATGGCATCATTTCGGTAAGTGTGATTTGATTTGAATGGAAGTTTGTTTAAAAAGTTTTTATTGAGAGATTGGTTTAGGTTCATTTTGAAGATTTACAAAAACATATTGATCGAGTGAAAGAAAGAATCCAAAGTTTTAGTGCACCATCACACTACATCTCACCGCGTAAGTTTTCCAAAAAGGAACTCAATTCCAGATCCAAAAAAAACCAGTTAACCCAACAAACTTTCAATTTTGGAATAGATTGGATAGCCCATGGATTAATGGATTCGATCATCGATTCATTTTTTCCAATCTTATCATATGTAGAAAAAGAATCCGATGAATTAGATGATTATTTATCAGACCCATTACAATCCAAACAAACCAGATTATCAACCATGGATCCTACCTTCAATCGATTTAAAATGTTGGATAGGATCACTCAGAATCGTAAGTTGGTAGTCATGATGACTAGATTATTGAATCAGAAAGTTCAAGTCGTTGAAGGTTTGAGGAAAAGGATGGGAGGATCTGATCAAGAAAGTGAAATCCATTTACATTTTGGAGATTTACAAGGTTTGAAAACTTTGAAGGTTTTAGGATTTTGAGGTTTGGTAAATTGACTTTTTTTTGTTTTTTTGTCGGGGGGTTTCTTAGATCATATCATGGCCATCTTTCAAACCTTAAATTTCTATGACACTTTATTATCCAATGCACATCTAACATACCTAGGAATCCTACGAATCACCCTAGACCGAACCAAACTTTCACAAGACATTCTGATCATTCGACTCTATACACTTTCTTTGATTGCTTATCCAATGTTATCGGTCATTGGATTTCATTCGATGAACATCAATATTCCCAAGAATGGAGATCGTGATGATCATCTTAGATCAGATGGATCCTCTTCTCCTTACTATGTCTTTGGAATCGTTCTGGTCATTTGTTGTGTGGTGGGTCTTGGTATGGGGTTGTTGGTTAGAGGCATCTTTAGGAAATCAGAGGAGGTTTATAGAAGGAAAGTTGTGGATCGTTGGATTCTTAAGGCTTGAGAGAAGGGCGGTTTGGGGAAATCTTATCAGTCTGTTGTTGGTCCTACGGGGTTTTTTGGGTCGATTTGTTTGAGGGGTTTTTTCTTTGTCTTGGGTTTCCTTTTTTCTTGGATCTTTATACATGGTTTTAAATTGTATTATTTATTTATAGAAAAGCAAGAAAACAAAGCATAAAAGAAAGTTTGTTTGGGTGAATTCGGTTTGGGTTTCTTTTCCTTCTTTAGAATCTTGTATCCGTATAACTTTATTAGGGTCTTATTTTTCTCTCTCTTTTGATCACTTTATTTATTGTTTGGTTTTTTGGGTTGAAAGAGGAAAAATTTTAAATGGAAGAAGAACGTATAGATATAAAGCATAAAGCATAAAACAAGACCTTCATTTCTTTTTGAATCATCATTTTTTCTGTCATAAATTGTATCAGTTTTTTTTTCTTATATATATTTATTATCAATCAATGATTTATACATACATATGATGAATTCTTTTCTTTTTTGAATGTTTGTAAATAATACACTTAAATTATTCCTTGGGTTTCTTTTTATTTTATTGTCTTAGCATTTTTTCATTTTTCTTTTTTAGTCGTAATTTATTCTGATTGATTATTTTTTTGAACATATGCTGAGGAACCTCTTCATCATGATGCAAAAGTCATGTAGATATGTGATTTAATAGGGAGTTTCAAGTCAAGAAATTTATGGTATTTTACTGTCTGACAAGGTGTCTGATGTTGCAAAATGTATGCACCTAGTTGGGCTCTTGGAGAATCACAAGTGCAATGGAAAGTGAAGTTCCTTTGAAAGAACACAAGTGGTTCTAAGTTAGGGTCTTGGAGAATCACAAGTATGATGAAAATCAAAGTACCTAATGGTACAAGAGACAAATGATAAGAATGAATAACCATAATAAACACAACTAGGTGAGGAAACAAGCCTTTGGAAGAACACGAGTGATTCTCATGATTAGGCTCTTGGAGAATCACGAGTGTGATGAAAATCGAAATATCTAATGGTATGAGAGACAAATGATAAGAATGAATGAAGAAAGGAAACTACAAAGTAAGAAAAACATTCAATCTTATATATCTAAGTGATCTTGTGAACCGCAGGTACAAGTAAATGAATTGAAGAAGGATGCATGTCTATGATATCAGAGTAACGTGAAATACGTCATAAGAGAATCAACAATGACGATGTGATGAGAAAATGAATAAGTAATGAAGGGAAATTGATTATCCAACTAGATAGTAATAGTAGATCGTGGTTAAAATTGTGAGGGAGAAAGAGTGAACACCAAACAAGTTACTTTTCCGTCAAATGCTTCCTTCAGTGCTTACGGATGATTGGACCACTTTAATATTGATGACAGATGGCAGCGTTCCATCCGAACTATGGGGGTAGTTGAAATCTTTTGTAGGTAACTCGCACAAGCCTGGAAAGTTAACACCATTCATACTGGGTTCTTGTCCCCAAAAGACAGTAGTATCCCATCCAAGTAGCTGTGAAGTCATCTGAGGTAGTTCCCTGTTCTTGAGATCCCTTGGAATGATATGAAATTTACTTTCATCTGCTGAACATTTCTCTGAGAATATTCGCCACTGACAAGAACACAATTAGGATCACAGGACGACTTGAGAAAACTACAAAGTTTGACTGACTGATTGAATCAGTTGAGCCGGAACTGTGAAGAGACCAGGAAGATGGTTGATAAGGGCTGAATGGATCCGCCGATCCGCCCTAGAATGAGACCCCGTACCCAATGTAAGACTCCAGGATTAATCACATGTTGGTAATCAAATCACACAAGACTTTACTCACTCGTTGAGATGTAGTGCAGTGCGCCATTGCATTAGTGATACTAAGACTTGACCTGCAATTGTTAACGTGACAGCGACAGACAGGAAAGACAAAAAGCCTGAATCCACCCCGTTGCGGAAAAATCGTAAGTCAACCAAAATACCAAAGGGAAATTTCTGAAGATTATCTCAGAATCGGTCACCACACGCAAAAGGATGGACTTACGAGTCTCTTTCTCTAATTCTATCCATATTGTAGATTGTGTTTGCAGACTCAAGGCCTCTGAATCGCGGATCTTCAGTACGTGCCTCAACATGCGCAACAATAACTGAACCGTGACTAGGTAAAACTGAAGTAATCAATTAATGGAGGGATTTATAGTCAGCAATCTCCGCGTGATGTTCGGCTTATCAAAAGCCGCAAGTCCAGTGACATGGTAAACGTAATGTATCTTTGATCAAATGAATTCTACTGACGATGGTCAAAATAGAGAAAAATAACACCCAGGTTTTTGCCCATCCAATGATGAGCGCACTCAGAGGATCTTCTAACTCTGCAGACTTCATGACCGCCGCACCGATCCGCGCGAGGGGGATTCTTGAACTATTATGATTAATGTCCCATAACTTGACAGCGCGCTCTAGCATTCTGAAGGCAGGAATGAGCGCTGATTCCAATTGAATAAAGGTCAACGTCACACGGGTTGCCCAATAAATGTTGGTCATCATGACCAAAATCGTTCCGGAAATCCACAAAACATTGTACGATGAAGGTGTGAGGAAACGTGATAACCGGCTGTTCTTTTGGCCTCCCACATCGCAAAGGCTGAATGAAACACGCGTAATTTGCGAAAGTTTATGGACAGGCGGCTCGTCAGCTGAGTGATTACAACTTAATTGGGCTGTGATTTGTGTTAGCTTGAAAATTTACCAAGCGTGGACCAGACTCCAAGCAGATATCCAAATACCTACACAGCTCCTGATCGATAGTTCCAAGTGATCAGGCATATTTCAAAGTGTTGTGGATGTCATGAGAAATTGTAAACATACGGAAGTGACCTGAGTTGCCCAGTAAAAATTAGGGAGAGTGCCGATGATTTGGTCGTGAATCAAGGTCAACAATAGAAAGGCAAGTTCGATGAAAGGTGGACTGTATACCACGCACTCAAGACCATACCTAGAATGCAAATGTCCGTAAATGTGACGAGGATGTCATGTATCAGTTGATGAAAAATGGCTGGCTTCCTTCGAGATGATTAACAAGCACTGACCATGTCGATACATGTGACAACAGACCTTTTGTAAGATGATTCCCTGAATAAGACTGTTGAAATTGCACGCGAATATGAAATCGGTTTAGATACAAAGCCCTTCAAGGGATACATTCGAGGCCATGAAGATCACCTTGTAGCTCGAGATTGTCCCCATGAGATACAGAACTCCAGAAATTGCCTCTGAGATTGCAATGACCATACAACGATTTGGAACTAAGTAAGGTGTCCCTCTGGCTAAAGGTGAAGGTGAGCACACATCACGCACGGAGCGAACAGAGCGGCCTGTCAGTACATATTGTTTCGGATGACAATGGAACTCCATTTGAACTGATGAAACGTACAATGCTGTGGATAGACTCGACGGATAAGTCTGTAATGCCGTTCCCGTGCTGCAGGTCCCTTGAATAATGGTATTACCATTATTGATATACAACTCAGTATGATTATACCCCGCATGACAGCAAGTAGGATCAAGATTTTGAGGGCCCAGCAAGGAAACTGTGGCATCGACACATCTTTCTAAGGACAGCGCACGGGAGAGAAAATGGGACCGATTTACGAAAAAACCTTCAGAAGGATGTCGAATGGCTTGAAAAGATACGGCTTCAGCACAAAGACTTACTATGAATTGCAGTTGAATCCTGAACGGATTCACTTGAATGGGCTGTCCTGAAGCACCGATCTGTTGTGGAGCAGTTTGCGACATGGGTGGAGTGAGGTGGAGTGTATACTTGAGTGGAGAATTAAAGAGACAAAGGAGTGATGTTTAGTTGGTATATAGTTAATCACCTATACATGAGGGCCCTACGACTCGCAAGAATGTCATGCCAGATATAAGCAGCCTGTAGTCCAGAATTTGAGTCACTGGTTTGAGTGTTCCAACGAGTCTGGCTTGATCAAGCTGATCCTTCTCATGGGTGTGCTGAGATATAAATTGTCTTCGGAAGATCCGCTTGGTCGGATTTCCTCACCTAGTGAGACCATTTTCACCATCGGCCTCGTGCGCCGACACAGGATTGCCGCGAGGGACTCCCGTTTAAATCACTTTTTCAAAGAGGTTTTTCAGCGTACATAGCGTTACTTATTCGAATGGGCATTTGCAGGTGCATATCTACAGAGAGACAAACTTACAGAGATTCATTACCCCCAATCAATGGTTTATCAGTCTATCCCATCACACGCTACTGTCTGTGTGCTTAATAAATTGACATGAAAACTTAATAATGCATAGTCCTACACTTCACAGGATGGTCGGGATCAACTCCAATGGAAAATTCAAGCAATATTGAAAACTGACCCTTTTCGTTGCGGATATTGAAGTTCAAATGTGTAGAACACCAAGCAGTGCTTTATAACTGAGTATATCAAACCATTTGCTAAAAATGAAAGATTGCTGAGTTTGGATATATATATAACGAGAAAGGTATGAGAGATAAAGTGATTAGTTGAGGGAGCCTGAGTAAACACAAGTCAGTTTCAAGTTTTGGTTTAGATAGTTGGCAAGATTGGTAGACTGAAACAATAAGATGATGTTTGGTTTGACTGGTAAACTGAAGTGAATGAAGGGTCATAGGATGGGTTTTGATCAGTAAAACAGAGTGTTATGATGTCATTGGTGGATGGCCATGAATGGAGTGTATATAGAGTGGTCAACAGGATGTATTGATGGATGATCAGATTGGTAAACAGGAATTGAACTCTCAAACCCAACATTTCCCACTTTCTCAAACTTCATCCTGACCTTTTGCATGATAGCTTTGAGAGTTACCTTTTAACTTAGCAACAATCAAAAATGTCCCGGCTTAAAGAAAAGGTAATTCAACATTTCAAAATCGTAAAAGATCACTCCCATTTTTTTAGAAAAAACCAATTCCCTTCTTTCACAAAGAAATAAAAACATGACCCACATAGAATTTCACTTCGACATCAGAAATCAGAGAAAGAACAAACCATTCAGAAAACAAAAAAAAAGAAACAACAATTGTCTGATTGTTCATTCAAGTGCTCCTCTTGCTTCTAAACCTTTCAATCGATTGATTTGTCTGAAATGAAAAAAAAAAACAATGAATGATTAAGAAAAGTAACATCAGAATTGAAAGAAAGAGAGGTGGATTACTTACTCATCTCTTAGTCCTTCTTGCCATCGATGTAATTTAGCAATTTCATGAACTTTGAATCCAACTGTACATTCACAAAGGCAGAAGATCAACAAGATCAACCATAATGAGATCAAGATGTTTATGAAAGAACAGTCAACAAGAAAATTGGATGACTCACAGATCCTAGGACGATATCTCTCAGCTTTCAAAGCCGCTTCAGTCCCACCACTAGACCCCGCCCCAATTCCCTGACTTCCACCCCCGGCACTACTTCCAACCCCACCACCACCACCTGCCACATTAACCACACTACCAGAAGTTTGACCAGCACTGTTACTTCCACTATTACTATTGATTCGAATCGATTTACTTGGTACCATATTAGGATAAACCATAAAAAGCATATGAGGAAAGGTTGTACCGAAATATGCTCCGTCTATTGCACCATGTCTCGAAGATTTAGGTGAATAGATATCTTCACATCTTGGACAATAAAGTTTAACGGCTTTGGAATATGGTGAATCTGATAATCCTACTGGTAATAATGGTTGTGTATAACATAAAACTCGAGGACATCTACCGAAATCGGCTTTTTTGAATTTGTCGAGCTAGTGAAAATTGATAAGTTGGATTGAATTATAAACATACTTTTTGATGGGATTGATGAGGATCAGACTTACCATTTTGGACAAACCACGTGAAGTGATTATATATCGGGCATGGATTAAACCATATAAATGTCTTGCAGCTCCTTCCACTGATTCTCTAGCAGTATCTTCTAACTCATCTTCACCTAAGATTCCCCACAAAAAGTAAATTCCATCAGTCAAAATATTTACCAAACCTTTGCCCTCTCAACATAAAAAAAAGGAAAAGAGATTACCTAAAGCATCTGTAATTAAATCAAGTGCTTGACCATAATATTGAACTTCTGAATTTAATCCAGTTAGATTGAATCGATCTAAAATATACTCTTCATCTACTTCACAAAAATATTCGTTTCCTTTTGTAGATAAGAACCAAGAGATCCATGAATTTGCATAATCTGATTCAGATCCGGTTGATAATTCGTCCACTTTTGTTGTCGGATTCGAGGTTTTGAGGAATCAAAAAGTAATGTTTGGAATCGGATGGAGATAGAATTCGTTTGTTGAGTAAGTTATCAACACGGATTGAAATGAACGAAAATACTCAACTGCTTAGGTTTTTCTTTTGGGTAAGATTGACAAGTTGGATAATTCGATTTGGTTCAACTTCCAGTTGGAATTACTGAATGTGTTGATCGGTTTTAGGTTTGATAACTGATCGAGGTCAAGTTTTTTGTTTGTTCTTCTTGATTTGTTGCAAGACACATGAAGTGAAAGTCAATGCTTCGAATTCGATCAGATTAACGCAAGATTCAGATAGTTTCACCAATCAAACTCACCTGTTGTGTTGACCTTCTCAGGGGAGTTTTGGAATTATTTGGTTTAAGGAGCTTGCTGCTTTGTTCAAGTTGTGGTTGGGTTTCTTTTGTGATTTGATTGGGTTCGTTGAGTTTTTTTTTTTGAAAGTTGAAAGTTGATCGATCAAAACAACAAGTTGAACGGTAATTTAAACTATAAAACTCATTAAAATTTATCTTGTCTTTTTTAATTTGTTTTTCAAAATCTATTTTTGGAAGAATCTAATTTAATGCCACCCATATTTTGACATTTCTGACTTGGGCCAACAAAACATATTCAAATGCTCTTGTATGAGGTGAGCAGCTAAGCGGCCAGCCTT